TCAGACTTCCAGAATTTTTTTCCAATCTACCTTAGGAAGTTTCTTCCGTCTTCTCCAGGAAGTTCAATTAAACTTCTCCCAGAAATTTCTTTCGTCTACTTCTGGAATTTTGTTCAGTTGTTTTTTTTTACTTCTATTAAAAGGTTTTTCTGAGCTCCTTGTGGCTTCCCCTGTAAATGGCTACTTCTGGAATTTATTTCCGATTTCCGAAACATTTCTGCCTTCCTTTGAATGTGAAATCCGATTTTTTTCTGAATGTTTCTTTAAATTTTCGCCAGAAGTTTCTCAATTTATGTCTTGGAAGTTTCGCGGATGATTTTCCGACTTCTCTTAGAACTTTCCTCAAATTTCCTCCAGCAGAGCTTCTTTCTTCTTTCAATCCAAAAGATAATAAATTTCGCTTTCAAAAACGGCAATAATTAAAAATTAATGAAATTAGTAAATAACGATTAATACCGATTTTTTAAAACCTTTGATACCGATAAGCTTTAAAACACTCTGGCAACGCTGCTGGGAGTCATTGATGAAACATACTATGCTTGATGTTTACATTCCATGTTTGTCGGAACAAAATCCGCTCGCACACGTGTTTTTCACTCGTCACCATCTTGAACACTAAACAACCGACGTAATGCAAATCCTGACTTACCTAAATACACTGTTCACGGTGTGCTCAAATCATTTTCGGAACGTTTGACGGCCGAGAGTAAACCGAGAAGTGATAAAACACATCTTGTCATGGACCGAAAGGTGAAGAGGATATTGAAGGAAAACGGTGGCTCGTAAGATAGGAATGTCACCTGGTCACAGTTCCAAATCGCAACGACAAACGGAATTCGACAGAAAAATCACGGGCTAGACGTTTGTACTGTGAATATTTGACGAAGTTTTCATGCGTTGTACGTGTAGATTTCAAGCAGCCTGTAGGGTTAGCTTTCTATTCTATAATGGCCAAAAATGCTACAGCTGTGCATTTCAGGACGAAGAAGGCATCGAGCCCAAAAAATATCCTATTTCCTCCCCCTCAAATCCGCCAAATTGTCCAGAGTTACGTCGAATCGAAAAATATTGGGCTCTGATGAAGCGGAAGCTTTCTGAAAAGAAACAAGGAATCAAAGATATCAAACACTTCCAACAAATTTGGACAAAGACGCCCGCCACGGTATCTGAGGAGTCTGTACAAACCCTAATTTAATTGACATATAATGCGAAAGTTGTGTTTTACTTAATTACTTTTTTTTACTTATATGTTGAAATAAAAAAGTATTTGGAGTTCTCCAAATTATCCTGGAGTTTGGATCTTAATGTTTTACAGGCTCAACAAGGTTATATACGATGTTCTGACTACATAATTGAACCCGTGGAGCTCTATAATCTCATGTGTAATCAACAAGGTATAGTACATAGCCTCGATAAAATTGTTGAACCCCGCATAGCTTTGAAGAGGTCCATTACATCATATTGTTATATATAGATCTAATGGCAAATTATTTTGAGCTCTCCAATTTTTTTTTGCAGTTTAGATCTTGAAATTCTGCATGCTTAACAAAGCCTTGCACGATCTCTAAGCACATGATGCGAATCCGTAGAATTCCGTAGGGTCTGTTCACATCATGTGTAACATAAGTTGTATTGGCAAAATATCATAGGTTCTTAAGTTCTTGGAGTTCAGATGTTACTTCAAACGAAGTACATATGATCGACAGTAGGTAGCATGGCAGCAATGGTGGTATTGAAAGAGAATAAGTTTGAAGTAGTGTAAGATTTTATGTCTATTAGAATCCAACTTAGTGACAAGTGATCAGAAACGAAATTTGATTCTTAAGATGATTTGCACGCCTTCAGGATAATTCATGATATTCCTGATTTGATAAGATTATATTTGAAGTTCTAAAGATCTTGTTAGAACCATTCCAGATCATGCTGATAAGATGAGAGTAAGGAATTTGTTTGAATTTTGTATTAGTTAAACGTCTTCAGAATAGTTCCTGATCTACCTCATATGATATGAGAATATCTCAAGGATTGATATAATTCAAGGACTTCGTTAGAATTTTGGAACAGTTGTATGTCTTTAGAATAATGCTAATTGAGCTTATATAATATTCTTAACCAATTTAATTCGAGAGAATGTCTGAACTGTTGGTCTTCAGAATATATACTTCCTTATCAACGTACTATGATGAAAGAATATTTCTCGACCATGAATTGAAAAGGGCCTACCAGCTTGTAAACAAAATTTTGTAATTCCTTTCCTCACAAAGCGTAGGCTGCCCACGTAAACCAACAGCATCATCGGGTAGGGGAAACATTCCTCACAGATGATGCCAATGATTTGCGTGGGCAGTCTTCGGTTTGCAAGGAAAAGGCTTTGTTTTGTTTACAAAAGCTTATATGCCCTTTTCAATTGTTGGTCGAGATTTGATGGTCTAACAATCTTTAAAATGATTTCTGATCAACTTGATATGATTCGATAATATGATCTTAATACGTTTATGATTTGGATAACCTATGATATGTTGTCAAACAAGAGTTAGTCCTACACGATGTTTTGGAGCTTTACAACGCCATCCAAACACGTTTAGTATGTCGTGACCTGCCACATAAACATGTGTCTTAAATAATGTGATATGCTCTCATATAGAGTCTAAAGAACTTCAATATTTGAACTCTTGAACGGTTAGGAGAATATAAGATATGTGTTAATACAACTGTCCTAAATTATATGAAGCTTTATGGATTTCTGCAGTATATTCAAACATCATGGAAGACTTCATTGAGCCTTAAGAATTTCAAGATCTGAACTCCAAACACTTTGGAGTGTCTAAGTCACATATGCTTTGATGAGGTCCCACGAACTGCGACGGATTTCTATAATAATTCTGAACATCGTACAAGACTGTTGAGCCTGTAGAACCTTAACATCGAAACTCCAGGATAATTAGGAGATACCAGAATACTTTGTCATTACAACTGTGTGACTATCCCACATGTTATTATGGGACTACATGGATCTCTGCGCGTCCAAAAATGTAGTTTGGACATCGTACAATACCCAATTTATTCTGTAGAACTTCAATATCTAAACTCCAGGCACTTTGGAGAACCTAAGATATATTGCTAATACAACTTATGTGCCACATGATGTGATCAGATCCTACGAAGCTCTACGGATTCGTTTACTAAATCAGGACAACTTACAAGATATTTTTGAGCCTGTAGAACATCAAGAACTAAATTCCATGATAATTTGGAGAACCTAAAATGCATCCCATTTCATGAAATTCTATGAACTCAGAAATTCACTAGGACATAGTACAATACCTGTCTGAGTGTATAGAAGTTTAATTGCTGCACTTCAGGCTATTGGTCGGTGATTTCTTGTACAAATTATGTCCTGCGAACAAGACTTAGAACGAGGACGTAGAACATCTAATCTAATCTAACACCAACACAGCCAGTTCTTGACAGCATCCAGGAAAATGGTGGATATACCTTCATCATTTTTCTAGTCTATTTGTTACATGTTTCGCATAGAAAATGCCTCACACCTCACAAAGGCCTCTACTGTACGTTATTTAAGGGGCAAGATGATTTAGAAAAACTCTTTGAATCCTGCTTGTCCTGAGATTCAACAGACATTGACGGAAGAACACTGTGACTGAGTGAAATGTTGCGGAAAGGTCACGACACTGATGACGCCTTCAGAATAAATCCTGTTAATCCTGATTTGATGAGATGATATTTGAAGTTCTAAAGATCTTCAGAACCATTTCAGATCATGCTGATAAGATGGGAGGAAGGACTTTGTTTAAATTTTTGATTAGCTAAACGTTTTCAGTCTTTAAAAATCCTGGATGTAAACACGATGCTTCAGAATCTAATAAATGGATGAAACGTGATCATCGCGTGCCCGTACGTTTCGGTAATTTTCATTATTGGATGTTCGTTGCTATGAAATATGACGCTCCATTTTCCTCAGACCGGTTAGGCCACTAGATGGTTATAGCGCCCTCGCATTCTGAAAAGAGAATAAGGAAAGGATAAGGAAAAGAAAGGGAGAAGGACCAAAGGCAAAGGATTAAATATAGGTACTATATATAAATAAACCCATGAACAATATTTGTGATTTGATAATTTGATTTTTTCATAACACCTCATCACATCCGCTCACTTATTTAAAGTTACAACTGATCAGAAATTCAAATGATGTACTTCGGATATTTCTCCAATTGCAGTTACTCTGAAGGTCTGTAACTAATCAGATATTCTAATTAAGTCTTTCGGACATTCCTCCATGATCAAGAATTATTATGAAGATCAACAACTGATCTGAATTTCAAATGACATTCTTCAAAGAGTTCAGGATAATCTGGACTTATTTTGGATTAGAAATTCAAATGATATACTACGGATATTCCTCCAAGAGGTCAGGAGGAAATTAACAACTGATCAGATATTTTCGGATATCTTTGCAAGGGATCTCGATGATCAGGAATTATACATTCTCAGATTCAACAATACCAAAGCGCATATAATTCAAGCTGAAGAAGCGGCTTCCATCGGTTAGTTGATTTTAGTTTTGGCTAAGACGCGTCTATTTATAACTTTAATAAAAAAAATTACGTTAAATTAAATTTTCGAAAATAATGTTAAGGTAATAATATCAACCGCTTATTTCTTTTCTGAAAATCTGCATGCTTGAATATCGCTTTAAGTAATCTAACAGATTAAAATTGGGTAGTTGCAGTTCTTTTCATATAATTTAAAAATAATGATTTAAATTTGTATGAATTGATTTTATTCAACACTCTCGGTTACAATACGAATGTTCAAGAGAGCTCTTACTTTATCAGTCTTTCCAGCTACAGTCTTATACGTTGAAACTATTCTAGAATTACAAACTTATTCACACTAATCTTAGGAAACGTCGGCTCAAACAAAGGAACTTTACACATATTTACAACATAACTTCAAAAATCGTGCATCACAAGCACATTCTACTGCGATCCATTCGTCACACCGTACAGGGCCAACTGCTTCCGCGCTGCGGCCAGTTCAAATTTCAGCTCAATGTTCTCCCGCTCTAGGAAGGCTGCCCGAATGGCGATTTCGTCCTCTTTGATCCGTCTTCGATCGCGTGATTTCTTTGCAGCGGCATTGTTTTTCTTCCGTCGCTCGTAGTAGGCGGAGTCTTTTTGCGTTCCTTCGTTCGGACCGCCATTGCTGCTGCTGCCGTCGGTGTTGTTGCCGTTCTTTCTGTGGTTCGACGTTTCGTTGCTAGGGTGATGATCGGTGGGTGTGGCTTTCGCATACGATTGCTGCGATGGTTCCGGAATTTTATCCGACACGCTTTCCGTTTCCGATGTATCGCTGAGGGATTTGTTGAGACGGCGCATCTTTGGGTTGGAGACCGTTTGTTGACCGCCATTGGCAGCGTGGATCTGTTCCAGCATTCGCTTGCGAAACATGTTGTACTTTTCAGCAGAGTTGGCATCCAGCATAGAATCACTAGCCATGAAACCGGCCGTTAGGCTCAGTGGATCGCGTGGGTAGGCTTTGAATGGACGTGCTAGCTTTCCATCGCGGCCCACCACCATCGGGTACTGTCCGTTTGGTTCGGAATTAATCGATTCGTTGGGTTGTTTGAGTTTCGGTAACTGCAAACCACTGGGAATAACGTGACCTTCCGAACCCGATTCGGAAAGTGAGTCTGCTTCACGTAAGGGATGAAGTGGACTGTGTCGGAACTGGGATGTTTTGATGGCTTCGGGTCGGATCAGGTACGGTGGAAGCTCTGGACGATTGGGAAGACCTTCCTGTTTAGGAAGGATGGCATGCTGGGGTATGTGCAGGTTTTGTGCTGGATGAAACCCGGTTCGCCGGTTATGCTCGAGATGGCTGGGAGAGTCATACGGCACCGGTGCTTTCAGCGATAGCTCGTGATGGGGATGATGGATAGCTGCGTGGTAGTTGATCAGCAGAGCATTGTTTGAATTGTGCAGAGAGCTGTGCAACGGAGGAGATCCTTCTTCGCTGAAGCTGGCGTAAGGCGACGGTGTTTTACGGGTTTCCACGGAATCGCGACGTTTGGATAGATCCAACACTCCGGAATCGGTAGAATTTGGGCGGCAGTTGTCGTGTAACTTAGGGGAATGCGGTAGGTATAGCGATGGGCTCGTTCGATGATCTGTAATTTGAAGATAAGGTTTATGTTGATTAATTAAATTATCTATCAAAATTCACATTGTTGATATGATGAAATTTCGTTTAGTTTTGCACATAAATTATTTTAAATAAAGCAATTACCTGCTTTCAGATCCATCATGAATTGAGCAATCATCTTAATCAAAAACACACTCGCTGCACTCGTTTTTAAATTAATAACTCATCAACTTTCAGAACACGAATTTCCAGTCTCTTAAAATTTCACTCTAACTCAAAACGGCCACCTCACGTCGAATTCTTTCCTCTAATGACCGCAAACTGACCACCGCAAGTGCCTTTTATACTGGAGAACCCTTTACTCTAACCCTCGCTCGCAGACCTACACAAAACAATACGCCAAAAGCCAAAGGAATATGCAGAAAATTTGCAAAATTTGTATACTCTCTTCCTGTATGCCATCTTGCTCGCACCACCGCAGCAAACATTGACCATTTCTCCAAATTCTATCGGGAGAAAGTAGGCACCTACCTACACAGGAAAGAGACAAAAGTCCGACGCTAAAGGGTCACAGTGCTAAGCAACCTCACGAGCACACTTGCCTGCTTGGATTTTCGTTCCCTTTTTCTCCTCTTTAAGCTGCCAAGCTGATCCATGGGCCACTTGTGACTTTTTGCGGTCCCTCGTATACATTGACGATTTTGTTTTTCCTAATTTCTAGTTTGGGAAAATGGGAATGGAGTCCCGATTGGTGAGAGATGACGTGAATGAAAGCATTGAAGTTAATTCTACCTTTTTCCTATTATTTTCAAGGCCAACTTTGAGTAATGCATAACAAATAATACTACTGATTCGCTTAGCTTGCTTGGATTTTTTTTTTTCATTATTTTGTTATTCATTTAAACTCGGATCAAATGTACCGTAAGCCTTTCCCTTCAACATTTATGCATCGTTGCTTTCCTGTTTTGAAAAAAATAAATATTCTCTACTCGGAGAAAGGGACAGTCATAACAGGAGGGAAATTCTAGCAGAGGAAGAGTAATGGAACGGAATCCGTTAGTCTGCTGATGTGAGATGTGTGAGGAAGAACAAACACGCACAACCCCTTTTCCCTCTGAATCGCCGTCATTAAGGTGGGGGTGGACCCGGACGCTCTGCATAGAAATAAACCCTCGAATCATCGAGGGTCACACGCGCTTCGTGCCTCTGATCTCTTCCGTGAGAATTTGTTTGTATTTCGCTCTGAATGCGACCGTGATGATGGAAAAAGGTTTCGGGAAACCGATTTTATTGATTTTGTCCCTACTCTGTTTTGGCTTGTTCGGAACTTTCAATCGATTCGAATTCACGCCAGAAGAAAAGGGTTCAATGGAGGTCTTACTCTTATTATGCCGAGGATTTTGCATACTTTCGTACCGTTCCCACTCGGTCCGGGAGCTACTTTTGACGGTCAGTTCTGTGAGCGGTCAAAACAAATGAAATGTTCTACTTATTATGGGGTATTGGCAGTTATGAAGGTGAGAAATGGTTTTGTTAAATTGACAGGTAAAATGATGAATGGTGGAATGACAACATTTTAGATCGTGTGAACTTTTCCGTGTGAAAATGCGGTACAGTCCCGTAAACTTTAGTAGTAAAATGCTTGGAAAGCCAATGTAAGGACCACGCTTGCTTAGATGATACAAACATTTCTTGTAACTGAAGATAAGGTCATTCGGTCCGAGAATCTGCGGGACAAACCCATATGTCATCTTTTCATTCATAAATTGAGACAAGACATTTACGAAAATTAGATTTCTATCACAAAAAAAAACATAAGTAGATCTTAAACCTAACAAGCAACAAGGAAATAACCAACAATGAACGCCCACTGTAATCTCTTTTTCCTTTTTCTTAAAAAAAAGTGGAAACCACTTCTTCCCTTTCATTCACAAACCTCTCAAAACTCCTATCCCACTCAACCGAAAAATGTGTTATATGTTGCCCCTAAGAGTATTTTCAAATCGGAAGCCACCGTTCGGCGTACGAAGTCGTGCGCAAGGAGCCTCTAATTGAGTTAAATCCGATTTTGGACTCTTTGTTCCGTCGCACTTCCTCTTCGCTCCACTGTACTGCACACTGGACCGACATAAAAGGATTAACCATTATTTTAGGTCAGTCGAAATGAAAATGTAGGCACTTTTTTAAGAAGAATCAATGAGGCCATATTGTTCCCCCTGGTTACCGCAACCATGGCAACCATATGGGAGCGTGAAAAAGGATTAGAGATAATTTCATAATTGTACGTGGTCTTCTGCATTGCTGGAAGGAAGGAAGGAAGGGACTTCGGTCAAGTACCCAGATTTAGGAGATTTCGTCGGCTCGTAGCTTCCGTTGTTTTGAAAAAAAAAGATCGTTACTGAATGATAACAGTTGTGGTGCTTGGAATAGTTTAGGCGAGACTTGGAATCTATTTTTCATGCTCGTTCAAATATTGTGAATTTACATTAACATTGACCTGATTCGATCGAACTTTGTCCGTCACTTAGGCGTCTCCCTCCTTTGTCGAGAGATTTTACATTTGGCTGTCTCGATCGACCCTTGTCCGTCGCTTAGGAGTCTCCCTTATTCAAGGTGAGATTTTTCATATCTGACTTTTTCGTTTGCTAAAGGTAAAGCGTCTCCCTTTGGCTTTGTTCGAGATTCCTTATTTGCCTGTCCCATTTAGACCTTGTCTATAGCTTAGGTGTCTCTATCTTTTGAGGCAAGATCTCTTATTTTTCTGTCCTGATTTGGACTTTGTCCGTCGATTAGGCATCTCCCTCTTTTGAGGCGAGATTTTTTTTTTTGCCAGATCCAATCGAGCTTTGTCGGTCGCTTAAGCGTCCCCAACGAGGTTTCTGATTACCCTAACCTGATCGGACCGATGTCAGTTGCTTTGGCGTTTCCCCCCATTTGGACGAGATTTGTCATTTGCCTGACCTGATTGAAATTTGTACATCGCTTAGGCGTGGCCTCCTTCGAGGTGAAATTTTTCAATTGCCTGTGTTTTGCTACTTTAAGGCAAGATTTTTCATTTCCCTGACCCGATCGGACTTGGCTGTTGCTTAGGCGTCCCATCCTCTAAGCCGAGCTTTCTCATTTGTCTTTCTCAATCGTGCTTTGTTCGTCCCTTAGCCCCTCTATTGATGCAAGATGTCCGATCTTTTACGTCTTCCGATCGAACCTTGTCCGTCGCATACATTTTAACTTGATACTACCCATTAATGATTACAACTTCACCCATCTTGAAGTAAAGTAGGTTAACCCATTAAATGGGTAAAAAAAATACCCCTTAATGAGAAACGTTGGCTGACTAATGGGTAACAATTACTCATTTATGGGTACAAGTTACCCCCAACTTTTTAACCCATTAAATGGGTTAACCAACTTTACTTCAAAATGGGTTAAATTGTACCCATTAATGGGTACAGTTCAATTACAGTGTAGACTTCTTTTTCTTTCCAGTTAAAATTTCGTATTTGCCTAACCTAATCGAACTTTGTCCGTCGTTTTGGCGTCTCCCTGATTTGAGGCTTTGTAGGAAACCCACTCCCTATTTTGAAGTGAGATGTCTCATTAGCCTGGCCTGCTCGGATTTCCGTCGCTTAGGCGTCTCCCTTTTTAAAGGAGAGATTGGTTTTTTGCCGGTCATGATCGGACCTTATCCATCGCTAAAGGCCCAAGCGCAATGACAGCGGAAGCGGAAAAGCCCGATCTGAGTAAGCCAACTTGTCGGATTGAAAACTTGTTGAAACCAAATCGACTTCGGTTAGGCATCTTGATGTCATTTGTGACAACTGTCAAACTTTCCGTTTCCGTTCCGCTTCCGTCCACATTGCGTTTGGGCCTTAAGGCGTCAATCTCCTTTGTCACTTAGACGCCTTCCTACTTTAAGGCCTGTATAGAGATCGAAGCGAAGCGAAAATCTCATACAAAATACTACATTTTTCACCTGCGTGAAAAACGCAATTGGCAAATATTTCGCTTCGCTTTGAACTGTAAACAGATACGATCCAGCGAAATCTAATTTTGTGGATCGTATCTTTTTCGCTTACGTTTATTTTTTTTTTCGCGCATGCAGCGGTAGCGAAAAGAGCAGCAGCTAAGCGAAAAGTTGACGTTTCGAGAAAGAGCGTATCTGTCAGATTTTCACTTCACTGGAGGTGTAAACTGATCGATTTCGTTTCACATGAACTGTAAACTGCGAAAAAAGGAAACTGGAAAATGTTCCACAACCTTTTTCGCTAGCGAAATTTCATGATTTTTCGCGTGCTTCAATTTTCGTTTCGCTTCGATCTGTATAGGGTTAATTACCCCATTTCCAGCCTATTTAGCACAACCCGCACTTAGTCTTCCTTAATCTAGCGCAGTTTAGCACCAAATGGAATGTTATTATTACTGATGGCTTCCAAATTTATTTACCTTTCCGTACATATCGTAAGATTTGATAAAGAGAAACCAATCGTTGAGATATTGTCAAAAGTCTAACACTGCTTCTTGACGCCAAACTCGGCCTACGGATTCTAAACTCGGCCTAACGCTTTGAAACGCCATTGAAACGCCAATGAATTCACTTCGGCCTATCGGATGAAGATAAAACGTGATTCAGTGGAGCACTTCTTTTGTATTTGGGAATAATGGGTGCAAACCTTCATATCACGCGTTCTCATTGACTTCGTTCCTTAGCTTATAAACTAAAGTATCGTACCAAACGCACAATTGACTTGTTAACTCTGAAATCAAGGATTTATTTGAAGTTTTCTGCACGATAGGCCCAAAATGGGCGATTAGGCCGAAGTAGTTCTCTACCCTACTAGACTTTAAAGTGAAATTTCTCAACTGTCTGACTGTGTCTGTCACTTAAGCGTCTCCCTTCATTGAGACAAGATTTTTCGTTTGTCTGACCCTATTGGATTTTTTGTGTCGCTTGAGCGTCTCTATGATGTGCGGCCTTATTTCCCATTTGTGTGCCATTATGAGATTGTGTACGCCGCTTAGGCGTCGCCATTCTTTGAAGCAGGAAAAAAAGGGCTAGTTGTACTACCTAGCTGACGCATTCATATAAGTAAAATTTATTGAATTTGTTAATTAGGCTGATGCAAATTTTATTTTTATCTTACAAAATATTGAAGGCGACGAACAAGTCCTATTCAGAAT